TTCTTCAAATTGTTACAGGTTCTAGAGTTTGATGTTGGTGATGTGGGAATTGTTGAAGAAAAAACACCATCTCTATCAGAAACAGCAGTTCTACCATCAGAGACAAAAGGGGAGAACCCTATGTCATACCCTGTTCACCAGTTCACAACCAGCACTTATCCTAAATACCACTTCAAGCATTTCACAGATGAAAAAGTTAAGGCGGCAGTGAACCAGATTTGCCACATCATTGGTTACCATGGCAACCTTGCTCTTATGGTTGATCACTTCCTTGATTTGTTTCATGAGTCTAAGCTGTACCAGAAGCAAGCTGTTTATATAATGAGTGAGATTGTAGTGGGTTCCTCACGAGGAGTGGCGGACGAGAAAACAACTTTTTGTAATGGTAAGATGTAGAAAATCAGTTTCAAGCCAGGGATGGCAATAAGTTCAAAAACTGAAGGAAGAAAACAATCGTAGACACCATGTAGATTCAGATGAAACAGAAGACCTTGAGCTATTCATTTAAAGTGTCCCAAGCACAGGAACCTTTGAATCCTGTTATTTGAACCTGTTCCTGATAAATTTTGCTCCAAATTCAATTGCAAAAAGGCTGATCTATAAATTTCTCTGATACAATTTTAATAAACAACTATTCATTAAACTGTGCAGAAATAAGTGTAACATTTTTTGACAGTTACCAGCGAAAGATTGCCTTCTTGCCATCAATTTTGGCCAGCTTGTAGTTCATGAAATCAATCAATTGTGTAGTTGACATTAGTGCACCTGATGTTGTCCTAAGCATTTGTTTCAGCTTTGAAAGCAATTTTACTGCTTGACAAACATATCACTTGAAACCAGTGTTTGAGTTCTTTATCACAATAAGTATGATATATGAAAAAAGGCAATTAATAAATATTTCTATGTTAACTTTATTATCAAGAACCGCAAAATATCTCACACTGGATTTTTTTTATCTTACTTGTGAGTGCAGAACTTAATTTTACACCTGACATTTCTTCAATGTTCAAACAAATTCAAACAGTAAATGTTATTTTGTTTTTCCCACAGGAAGAGACGATGACAACCACCTGTTTAAAAACCAGAGAACAAACCAGAAAGAGCTACATAATACTGTAGAACTCTTAATTACTGAGTACATTTCTGACATTAACTGGAACTTGGTGATATCAAATCCTCCAGTAAAACCTTCACGTAAAGCTGTTGCATCAGAACCCCACGATTTCCTCACTGTCAAGAAAGAGACCAAGCTACCCAAAGCACTACCTTTTGAAGCTTTGAACAGCAATGTGCTTCTCAGCTGTTTGTTGCTGGAAGCAATAGGGGTGTTTTCAATTGTCATTTCTTCGCAATTTGAGCAGTACCTTATGAAGGTTCTTTACCCAATCATGGTGAAGCTAGGAAGTGACAATGCCACTGTAAGTTGCTCAGCCTATGAGACTCTGGTGAAGATTTGTCAGAGCTGTGGGTACATGTCAGTAGATGAGCTGATAGCCAGAAATGCTGACTACCTGGTGAATTCCATATCACTGGATTTCAAATATGTCTTCATGAATTGCCAAGCTCCTTGTGTGCTCAGAGTTATGATTCAGTACAGTAACTCAGGAATTCTTTCTATTATTGAGGACACCCTCATGGATATATTTTCAGTTATTGATCTTTATCCTGAAGAGCTGCTGTACCTATTGATGAAAGTGTTAAATGTACTTGTTCTTATGATAAAGAAGTGGTTTCCAGCTCCAGTGAAAGAAGCAGTGATCAAGGACCCTAAGAATAAGGTATAAGTAGTACTTTTTTTCAAATCAGTTGATTTCATTACAAAGTAAAGTGATTTATACATAGAAATATCTAAACCACATAACTTTAGTAATTTTGAGGATTGATACATCAGCCATGAGGGTAAAACAAGGCATACGGTGAACCATAACTTCTGGGGCGTGAAAAGACTACTGCTCAGGGTTGTTACCTCTGCCGAACAGTATGTTAGTCCATTACAGGTTGCCCTCAACATTCAAAATTCCCAGACAGTGAAACAGGATGCTCAAAATGAGCCAATAACCAGTGTATTTCACTGTTTACTCTGAAAAACTTACCAGTCATTCCAAAGGCTTGTTGATCAATTTTCAGTCTGTAAGAATGACATTCATATTTGATAACCCCTGGTGTCCCCTACTTTGTATCACAGTCTGTTTACTCAAATTCTTTAGACAACCCGAGTGAGAGTATGAATTACTTGAAAGCGTCTTTTTCAAGAACACAACACAGGGATTTTAATGCTACCAGTGCTACATGATGCATAAAGAAGAATGCCGTTCAACCTAAATATTATATTTCATATATTTTTCTTGACTGTGATGAGTTTAATTTCTTTAATTAATCTTTGCTAACTTAATTGCTGATGTGTAAAGGAACCAATCAGCATCTGCCAAGAGGTACAGAATTCAAAGTTCAACAAAGATGAGGAAACTAACACAACAGCAGAGGAGATTCGGCAATATTTCCTGAATTATCACAAAAGGAAGCAACAAGCCACAGGATACGTGGACGAAAAAGAGCTTGAGGAAACAGAAGTAAAGGAACAGGAGGAAAATATGGAAGAAGAACATTTTGAGGCGGACAAGAAGCCTGAAGTGCCAAGACATGTTAAATACGTAACACTGGTGAGCCAGTTTGTCTTGTGTGGATGTAAAGATTATTTTGTCCTTAGTAGTGGGGTTTTTTTCTTGAATCCTCAACAAAGTATGAAATTTTCAAACTAGTTTTTAAGGCCTAAAAAAGTAAACTAAGAAAATTTAGACTACATAATTATGGAATTCTAGGCTGTGTTTCTTTATTTTATATTTACATTGTGTAACAGTCACTTGACTACTTCAAGTCTGAAATGCTACAACTTAACCCTTTGACCCCTCAGATGATTAGCATCTAATTTCTCCTTACAATATCACCCTTGAATCACACATTAAGGTCAGGAGAATGAAGGAAATGATCACCAACTAAAACAGTTCTTGTTTTTTAAACAAATTGTCCTTGTCAGCAGCTTAGGAAATGTATAGAGAAGAGTATGGAGAATATGCATACTGATGTTAGGGTGTAGGGGGTTGACAGGGCTTGACACTAATGGTAGCCAACTTGCCAAAGACTAGTAGAAATTCAGTTTTGGCTAGTGGTTTTTAATTTCCACTTGCCAGTTTGGCTAGTAAACAAACTGACAGAAATTTTTGTAACATTATTTTAAGTTGTCACTTGCCACTTGGCTAGTAGGTTGAAAAGTTAGTGTCAAGCCCTGGGTTATGTTTTCTTGACGTTGCAGTGCACTGCAACATTCTGAGACCTCTGGTCACTCTCGACCATGAAAACAATGTGTCAGTTATAACATACACCAAATGCAATTTAATTACATAACTGTAACTGAGGTATTGATATTAATATTAATATTTCAGGAGGGTTGCATCTGAGTTTGGGAAGGATGGTTTTATTGCAAAAAGTATGAAAGGATCTTGAATTTTGCTAAGGAATTCATTATAAATTGTGTATGAAACCTGTGTGGGTTACTTTTTGTCATGTAGGTGCTGGAAAAATGTGTACATTTCCTGTCGTCAAAGTCGCCATGGCTACGTCTCCTAGTGCTGGACACGATTGGCATTGGTGTTCAAGCCATTAGTCAGTCTGACGACCAACTCCTTCCCATGATTCACCGCTTGTGGCCACCAATGGTGAAGAGATTCACAGATGATGAACGGGTAAATGAGAGGGTAGTTTTGTGTTATTTGTTTCTCACAATTTTCAAATAGTGCTTGGTCAAAAGGAAGAAAAACGTCATATGATCATAATGCTTCACAATTTAATTTACAGACTTTTTAATTACCTACCTACTTATCATGTGACCGATCTGAAAAGCTAAGGACTGTGTGCCATACACAATTACCAATTACCCTGATTAAACACTACCCATTAATTACAAGATATAAAGTAAATTGTTCCTTTTTCCCCCTTCCAGTACTATATCTGTTTTTATTGCAGGTGGTAACGATTAAGGCTGTTTCTGTATTGTGCACCATGGCTAAAGCCACAGGAAGCTTTATGTACCGTCGAGTTATCAAGGACACCATTCCATCCATGACTGCTTTTCTTGATAAACAAGCATCAGTGAGCCTAAAGGCCGGCCCAGTCTACTCTCAGTCCCAGTCATTCAAGCAGCAGCTGGCTGTGTTAAAGGGCCTGGGACGGTTGTGTAAACAATTAGAAATTGGTGAAGCAACGCTTTGTTCTGTGGTGTGGGTTTGTACCCAGTACCTCAGCAGTCGGCAACCCAAGCTACTACAACAAGTATGTGGTAAAAGCACAGAGAATAGTCAAAAGCAGAAACTTGTTCGTAGGTTACAATTTCTAAAGCAAGAATAACCATATTGATTGCATGATCTGTTTCTACTGGTGTAGAATTCTGTAACGTGTTGTCATGAATTGCTTTACCTTTGTCTGTTACTGGCAAAAAAAAGGGGGGGGGGTGTCCTTATCCCTGAGCAGTCAGATCAACATGCGCGAATCACTTGACGACCAAACTCAGAGAACAATTTCTCTCTCGTCATTGTCGATCTTAGCAGAAAGTAGATTCTAAGAATATATGAGAATCATTTTAACCTTCCTGTAATCAAGTTTAATGTCTTTGCGTGGGGCATAGTTGCCCATATTGCCCGAGCCAGAGGCTCATATAATCGCAAGACAACAACCCACCCAGAATAAGGTACAAGTAGTACTTTTTTCAAATCAAAATATTTCGTTACAAAATAAAGTGATTTATACATAGAAATA